TGGGGATGTTGGGTGATGTCCTCCACTGCTCTGCTCGGGTGACAGCCCACCTGGAGCACTGTGCCCAGCTCCAGAGTCCTCGGCATGGGAAGGACATGGAGCTGCTGGAGCAGGGCCAGAGGAGGCCATGGAGATGCTCCGAGGGCTGAGGACAGGTTGGGATAGAGCTGGAGGTGTCCAGCCTGGAGAAGGCTCCAGAGAGACCTTTGAGCCCCTTCCAGTGCCTAAAGGAGCTCCAGGAGAGCTGGAGAAGGGCTTTGGACAAGGGCCTGGAGGGACAGCACAAGGAGAAATGGCTCCAAAGTGGAAAAGGGAAATTTAGATGGGATATTAGGGAGAAATTCTTTACTGTTAAGGGTGGTGAAGCAATGGGAACTGACTTCCCAGAGAATCTGTGGCTGCCCCTGGATCCCTGGAAGTGTCCAAGGATGAGCTCCCTTCCAGAATCCCAAGCCATGGAGTCCGCGATGACGTCACACGTGACGTCACACCGCGATGACGCAGCGCCCTCCCGGCATGCGCGCCGGGGCCGGGCGGGGGCCAGGGGCGTGGCCAAGAGAGCAAAGGGCGTGGCCAGATGAGGAGGGGCGTGTCCCCCCGGGGGCGTGGCCGCCTGTCCCCTCCCGGCCGCCGTCGCCGCTCCCCGCGGGCCGCGATGGCGGGAGCGGCCCCCGGGCCCGGCGGGCGGCGGCGGCTGCGGGACGATGGGCTGCGGACCTGCACCTCCGCTGAGCAGGTGCGCGGGGAGCTGGGGGGCCGCCGCGGGGCTTCGCGACGGGGCTCGGGGAGGGAGAGCCCAAGAGTGGGGTCGCCAGGCTGCGGTGTGGGGTCTGGGGTCTGGGGTGCGGCGGGGCCGGCCCTGGGGGTGCAGCGGAGTTGGTGTGCGGGGTGCCGGGCTGCTGTGGGACCGGCTGATCCCTGCCCCAGTTTCCCCGCGCCGGCTGCTGGCCGCACATCCACAGCTGTCACAACAGCTCGGTCAGCCGGGGGGGGCTTTGGGGGGGTTCAGGGGGTGCTGCCACCCACCAGCCGCTGCAGCCCCCGGGGGACACCCACAGGGGCTGTGACACGTCCCCCAGAACTAGTTCGGGGCGGGTGAGAGGTCGTGGGGGACAACGAGAACCCCTCCTCCCGCCCTCTGTCCTGATCCAGCCGCTGGCAGCTCCCCTGGGTGCCGGGACGGGGTGAAAAGTGACCGCTGGTTTCCCAATCCCTGGGATTCCTGCTCAGTTCCATCCTGGCACGGCACAGTGCCATGCATGTGGGCCTCTGTGCTGCCCCTCCCAAACCCTGCGGCCGATCCTGGGGTGTTTCCTGGAGGATTACCCCGGGCCGGGGGTGTCGGAGTCCCTGGTTGTCCCAGCGTGAGTGAGAGGAGGGTGTTTTCCATAGGGGTCCCAAGATGGATCAAACTCCAGCTGGATCTGTAAAGCAGCGCCAGATGGTGCTGGACTCTGACATAATTCAGGGCACAAAGCTCCTAGCAGCTCCCACTTCAGTTTAACTGGATGAAATGGGGCTGTGAGTTGGATAAAGCCCTGGGATGGGGTAGGAACTGGGGGGCTCAGTGGGGATCATTTTGGGATGTGCGGAGCTGCTTCCCAGAGCTCACCACAGTCTTGATTCCCTCTTTCCCCGCCAAGTCCAAGGTGGAGGACATTGTGCAGGAGGTCTATGACGCCTACAAGACAAACCATCACTCCTCGCAGTGAGTCCCAAAATTCCCAATAAGCGTAAACAGCTTCCATCCCAAAAAACCAACAACTCCGGTTGTGGTGGGATCCTGCCCCTCCTGCCATTGCCCCCCTGCTCTTCCAGGCCATCCTGCCTGCTCACCTCTGTCCTTCCTGTCTCCCAGGTATGTCCTGCAGCGGGAGAAGCACTTCCATTACCTGAAGAGAGGCCTCCGGCAGCTCACTGAAGCCTACGAGGTACAGGGAATGCCGGATATCCCGCCCTGGAGCCGCTGGCTGGGGCGAACCCCTCACCCCGGGGCTGTCACTGGGGCTTTGCTGGCCCCGGGGTGGACACAGCATTCCCTATGTGCCCATGGGATGTGGTGATGCTCCGGGGGTTCTGCTCCCTATCCCCTCACCCCTGCCTGCTCCTGCAGCACCCCGTGTCCAGTGCCACTCCCCGACTGTCCCCTCTGTCCCCGCAGTGTCTGGACGCCAGCCGCCCCTGGCTCTGCTACTGGATCCTGCACAGCCTGGAACTGCTGGATGAGCCCATCCCGGAGTCGGTGGCCTCTGAGTAAGTGGTGGGAGCCAAGGGGGGACCCTAAACCCTGCCACGGCCAGCGTCCCCACGGGCTGCCCGCGTGACATTGGAGGTGCCACCTCCTGCTGTCCCCGGAGCAAAGGAGCGCTTTGTCTCCCTGCTTTGTCTCCCTGCCGCCGTCAATGCCGCCCATTCTTCCGGAGGCTCCCTCGTGATGGCAGAGATGGGGGGGTGACACCCCCGGCTTCGGCCTCGGCGGGGGTTCACGGGGCTGGGAGGGGACACATCGCCCTGCCAGGGTGACACAGGTAGCAACGAGCCCCTTGCCCACTTTTCCTGCAGCGTCTGCCAATTCCTGAGGCGCTGCCAGAGCCCCCAGGGGGGATTTGGAGGGGGTCCCGGGCAGCACCCCCACCTCGCCCCCACCTACGCCGCTGTCAACGCGCTCTGCATCATTGGCACCGAGGAGGCCTTCGGCATCATCGACAGGTCTGGGGGCCGGGAGAGCTGGGGGGGACGTGGGGGGTTGTGTCCTCCCCCCTCACAGCCGCTGGATCCTGCAGGAAGAAGCTCCTGGAATACCTGTACTCTTTGAAGCAGCCGGATGGCTCCTTCCTCATGCACGTGGGTGGAGAGGTGGACGTCAGGTGGGTGAGGGCTGTTCTGGGGGGCTGGGACACTTTTGGGGAGCCAGTGCTGGCAGCTGGTGATGGTTTCGGGAGCCGGTATCGTTTTGGGGAGCTGGTGCTGTTTTGGGGATCCAGTGTAATTTTGGGGAGGCAGAGCTGCCGCAGGGAGTGGGTGCCATTGTGGGGTGCCGGTGCTGCATCCCTGCGCACCCTTTTCCCATATCCCTGAGCACCTTTTTCCCGCAGGAGCGCCTACTGTGCCGCCTCGGTGGCCTCACTTACCAACATCCTGACGCCCACGCTCTTTTCTGGGACGGCCGAGTGGATCGCCATGTGAGATTTGGGGATGGGAGGGGACACACACACACAAGGGATGGCATTCCCGGTGCCAGTGCCGCCCTGACCCTGCTCCCACAGGTGCCAGAACTGGGAGGGCGGGATCGGCGGCGTGCCGGGCATGGAGGCGCACGGCGGCTACACCTTCTGCGGCATGGCCGCACTGGTCATCCTGCAGAAGGAGCACCTGCTCAACCTGCGGAGCCTGCTGGTGAGTGACCCCTGCCCGGGGCACGGGGCAGGGGGGGGTCTCATCCCACTGGGGAACTCTGATCCCACACCGGCTCCGATCGTCCCGCAGCACTGGGTGACCGGGCGGCAGATGCGCTTCGAGGGCGGATTCCAGGGCCGCTGCAACAAGCTGGTGGACGGGTGCTACTCCTTCTGGCAAGCCGGGCTCCTGCCCCTGCTCCATCGGGCACTCCATGCCAGGGGTGAGTTGCCATGGGCTTCCTGTGCTCCCCAGAGTGGCATCTCCAGGGATCTGACACACCCCTCCTGGTGTTTCTTCTCCGGGTTTCCCTTCCAGGTGACACAGCGCTGAGCATGGCGCACTGGATGTTCGACCAGCTGGCACTGCAGGAATACATCCTCCTGTGTTGCCAGTGCCCGGCCGGGGGGCTGCTGGATAAGCCAGGAAAGTGAGTGATGGGGGGAACACGGGGCTGCCCGGCCCCCCCAGGCTCCCCCTCAGCATCCCAATATCTCCCTGCGTGCAGATCCCGGGATTTCTACCACACCTGCTACTGCCTGAGCGGGCTGGCCATTGCCCAGCATTTCGGAAGTGGAGACCTCCACAACGAGGTGGTCCTGGGTATCCCTGAGAACTGCCTGGTAGGTGCTGGACATTGCTGCGGTGGGCAGGCCTGAACTTCCAGAGCTCCAGTGCCGGGAAAGGCAGATCCAATGGAGGTGGAGAGAGCTGGGGTTCAGCCTGGAGAAGGGAAGGCTCCAAGGGAGAATTTAGAACCCCTTTCAGTGCTTTAAGGGGCTTGCAGAGTGCTGGAGAGGGGCTTTGGACAAGGGCTCAGAGATTCAGGACAAGGGGGAATGGCTTCAAAGTGTAAAAGGGGAAATTCAGGTGGGATATTGGGAAGAAATTCTCCCCTGTGAGGGTGGGCAGGCCCTGGCACAGGTTGCTCAGAGCAGCTGTGGCTGCCCCATCCCTGGAAGTGTCCGAGGCCAGGCTGCACAGGGCTTGGAGCAACCTGTTCTGGTGGAAGGTGTCCCTGCCCACAGTGGGTCGGATTACACGATCCTTAAGGCCCCTTCCCATGCCAACCCTTCCAGAATTCCATGACTGACCTCTTCCATCCCTCTCTCCCCCACAGCAGCCCACGCACCCTGTCTACAACATCGCCCCAGAGAAGGTGGCGAGGGCGGTGATGCACTTCCTGCAGTATCCCATGCCCAGCCTGGATCCAGCACCCGCTGCCGACTAGGGGGAGGGTCCTGCTGCCGCCTGGGGGTCCCGTGGCCCCGGAGTGCGCGGCCCAGCCCAGCCCATGGAGTGGCGTGGTGGCCTGGCCAGCACAGCGAGGTCCTCAGGGTGCTAGCAATACCAAAACCCAGCCTGCTCCGGGCCGCGCATCCCACCGCCATCCCGGCTGGAGCCAGGTGGGACATGGGCTGTGGCAGAGCATTTTGGCATCAATAAACCAGAAGTGACACCCTGCCGTGTGCTGGGGGCCCTGGGGACACACGGGGCAGGAGGTGACACCGTGTCCGGCTCTGATGGCACCACTTCCCTCATTCCAAGAACAGGCGGTGACCGCAGGGCAAGATAAATTAAGTGGAATTTTGGCTTTTTTTTTGTTTATTATTTATAGTCTTATAGTAAAGGGAAGCCTTAACTTGCAAGACAACTCTGGGCAGTATGTACAACATACCTTAAATTTATGGAATGGCATCAAAATGGGGGGAAAACGGGCACCTACGGGGCAGGGACGGGCCACTGGAGTTCGGAAAATGCCACGGAGGTGGGGAAGGGGCCGAAGGAGGGGAAAAGAAGGAGGAGGAGGAGGAAGGGGGGGGGGACAGGACCCCCCAAGCCCGGCTCTATGCCAGGTCGTGCTCCGCCGACTCGGGCAGGTGGAGTTTGCACACGGACAAAATAAATAGGGAGACCCCCCCAGTGCTTGCTCCCTTTTTTTGGGGGGCTGCCCGGCTCCTCCCCGCTCCGGACTGCGCTGGTCCCCGGCTATAAATAGAACTGCTCCTATAAAACCAGGAGGGACAGGGGAGGGGGGTCACTAGCGGGGGGGGCAGCGATGGGGGGCTCTCCCTGACCCCCCCAAGTCTTTCGGCTCGGCCTGTCCGGCTCCCCCCGGGGCCGGCGCGGTGGGAGCAGGGAAGGGGCCGGGGAGGGCTGGGAAGCTGCAGTCCGAGAGCTTCTAGGAGCGGAGGGAGCAAGTCCTGCCGCGTGCTGGGGGCCGCCGGGGGGGCCTAACTGGCCTCCATGCGCAGCTTCTTCCTGCTCTGCGGCTCGTCGGGCTCCGAATCGGAGCTGGAGTCGGAGCCACCGTCGAAGGCGGAGATGGCGCTGCCCTTGGGGTTGGTGTAGAGGCTGTTGTCCGCGGGGTAGCTGGCCTGGAGCTGGGCACTGGAGCGGGCCTTCTCCAGCGCACGCACTGCGGGGACGGCACGGTCACCCTGCGCCCGGCCCCGCATCACAGCTCCTGCCACACCCCAGCTCCCATGGGATCCCAGATCCCAGCTCCTGCCACACCCCAGCTCCCATGGGATCCCAGATCACAGCTCCTGCCACACCCCAGCTCCCATGGGATCCCAGATCACAGCTCCTGCCACACCCCAGCTCCCACCAGATGCTGGATCCCAACCCCTGCTGGACCCCATCTCCAATCAGATCCCAGCTCCCACCTTGCTGCTCCAGCAGCGCGTTCTGCCGCTTGAGGTCGTCGATATCCTGCTGGTGTGTGTGGTTTTTCCGGCGCATGTACTGGATGTACTCTGTGGCTTTATCCAGGATTTGGGCCCGGGATGCCTGTTGCAATAGTGGGAAAAGCCAGAGGCAAGATAAAGACCTAGTCCAGGGGGGGAAACCATGGGATTTCATCTGCCTCATCCCACCCTGGCTCCACAGTCTGGCTCTGGTCTTCACCGGGGACTCCCATGGTGGGACAGAGCCTAGGGAATGTCCCAAAACATGAAGCCTGGACGCTGGGTGGGCACGTGTCTGTACTCCCAGCACGCTCCATAAACTCACCTTCTCTCCCTGGAGCGAGGGCACGGAATCCCGCAGGCTGTGGAAACTGTCCTTGATGTGGTCCCTGCGTTTGCGCTCCAGCGCGTTGTGATGAGCCCGTTTGTCGGCCTGGGAGGGGGGGACAGGGGTGGCACCGGGGAGAGCCACCACCTGCACCCCTAGAATTCCTTCTGGGAAGCACTGCGGGAGCCCGGCTGGGCCCCTGGGGCGGCTCCGCGGCCGTGACACCGCCGGCTTAGCCGCGAGGGCGGGGAAGGAGGCGGCTCCCGGTCCTTTCGGTTTCCCCGGCTTCCTGCTGCCGGGGCAGCCCCGGGCTCCGGGGTGGGGGCAAAGCACCTTCGCCCCGGAACTTGGTTTCCCCCCACCAAAACAACCAGGCGCAAGTCCCCCTCTGCCAGCCCCCCGTATCGTACATCTCTCCAGTACCCGCCAAATACGGCCCTACGCCCCCCCCTAAAATGACATAGCCCTGCACATTCCCCCCACCCCAGACACCCCCGTTTTACCCCAAAAGACCCCGCAACTCCTCCTGCCCTACAGAGCCCCAGATTTCCCTCCACAAGTCCCGCAACCCGCCACTGGCGATCTTCCCCATAAGACCCCCATCCCCGGCAGGACACCCTCAAGCCCCTTTCCCCCCCACCCCCAAGACTCCCAGCTCCGCAGATTCCCCCTGCGTGTCACAGCCCCCGGAAGACCCCAGCCCCCAAACGTGTGTCCCCCTCCCAAGAAGACCCCCAACCCTACAGGAC